CGAGCAGAGAGCCTGATGCGGGACTCGATCCTGGGACTCCAGGATCATGACCCGAGCCGAAGGCAGTCGCTTAACCAACTGAGCCACCCAGGCGCCCTTGATTATTACAGTTTTGTAGGAAGTTTTGAAATTGGGAAGTATGAGTCCTCCAACTTTGTTTTTTTTTTTTTTTCAAGATTGTTTTGACTATTCTGGATACCTAACAATTCCATGCAAATTTTAGGATCAGCTTTTCCATTTCTGCAAAAAACACATTGGGGATTTTGATACGGACTGCACTGAGCCTATAGATTGCTCCAGGTAGTAGTGCAGGGTGAATATCACGTCTTTCAGTCTGTGAGCATGGACGTCTCCATTTGTTTAGGTCTTTAATTTCTTTCAGCAATGTTCTGTAGGTTTCAGTGTAAAAGTCTTGCTTAAATTTCTTCCTAGTTTATTCCTTTGGAATTGTTTTCTTAATTTCCTTTTGAAGTTGTTCATTGCTGAGGTATAGAAATACAGCCAGTGTTTGCCTGCTGATACTGTACCCTGCAGCTTTGCTGAATTCATTTATTAGTTGTAATAGTTTTTGGTTTAGGGGGTTTTCTTTTCTTGTGTGGATTTGCTAGGATTTTATACATACAAAGATTATGTCCTCTCCAGTAGAGATAGTTTTATTTCTTTTCCATATGGATGTCCTTTACTTCCTTTTGCTGCCTTATTGCTAGGGCTAGAACTCCAGCGAGGTGCTGAATCTCAGTGGCAAAAGCAAGCATCCTTGTCCTGCTCCTGACCTTAAGGGGAGAGCATTGTCCTTCACCATCGAGGCCGATGTTAGCTGTGGGTTGTCATCTGCAGACTTTATTATGTTGTTATCCTTCTTTCTGGTTTGCTGAGTAGCTTTATCATGAAAGGGTGTTGAATTCTGTCACATGCTTGCTTTTTTTTTTTTTTTTTTTTTTTAGAGAGAGCGTGCACACAAGACAAGGGTGGGGGTGGGGGAGGGGGCAGAGGGAGAAAGAGAATCTCAAGCAGACTCCCCACTGAGCAGGGAGCCCTACACGGGGCTCAATCCCACGACCCTGAACTTACGACCTGTGCGGAAAGTTGGACCTTGACCAGCTGAGCCCCCCCCCCCAGGCGCCCCTGTCACGTGCTTTTCTGTGTTAAGATGATCACGGGTTTTTTCTTTTATTGATGCAGTGTGTTGCATTGGTTTGGTTTTTTTGTAGTTTAATCACCCTTGCATCCCTGGGGTAAATCCCACTTGGTCATGGTGTATAACCCTTTTAATATGCTGTTGAATTTGGTTTGCTCACGTCTTGTTGAGGTTATTTGTGTCAGTATTTGTCAGGGAAGTTGTTTGTAGTTTACTTGGAGATTTTGTCTGCTTTGGTATCAGAGCATGAATATAGAAGTCAGGCCTGGGCCAGTGCGTGATGGATCCTCTTCCTGGCAGCTTCTGGGGCTGCTCGACCTGCTTCCCAGAAAACGTGCTTCTGACCATTCCTCAGCCTCTCTTCCCCCATTGGTCTGTGTTCTGGCCAAAGGTACTCACTCAGTCTCTGCTGAGACTGCTACCCTAGGCCTCTGTCGGGGGGCAGGGGTGTCAAGAGGAAAGGTCACCTTACTCTGCTGACTGTGTTCTCTGGTGACCATAAAGGAGAAGTCCCGGACTAACGCTTCACTTGTCGTCCTGAAGAGTCTCCCTCGTGCTCGCGGCTGTCACCCCTTCTTGCAGAAAACAGCCTCCAGTCCTCCAGCTTGTTCTGCTTTGAGGTCCAGCTGCGAGGGGTCTGGCCCTGCCAGGTTTTAAGGAGGTGGAAAGGTTTCATGGGGGTGCAAGTGCCCGTGTCCTCGTGCCTGCGTGCTGTGCTCTGTTGCAGGGTTGTATCTGGAACCAGCAGAGTACCTGCTTGACCAGCGTGGCCTTTTGCCCTGTGTTTCCCCACAGCTGGTCTGCAGGAGGGGCTGCCCCCAACTCCTCTGAGGGGCATGGGAGGGCTCAAGCAGGGAGGGTGGAGGTGCCTGCCCTGAGGGGGCGGTGTTTCTCCCTCACCCCTGCTGCTGTGAGCCGTGGACAGGGCGACTGCGCCTCCAAGCACATATTGGGCCGCCGTGTCTGAGGCTGGTGCTCTGCAGGACTTCCAGAGATGACCTCATGCACTTGACCCTCTGTACTCGCCTGCTCACATTTGTTTGTCATCCCCAGTCTGTACTCATGGGGCATGCGTGTTGAGGGTGGCACAGTCCTTGAATCTGGCATGCTGACTCCCCCTGAGGTCGAACGTGACAGTACCCCTCCTGGGCGCGGCTCTCACCATAAACACCTGTCTTTTCACAGCCTATTAGTGCCCTGCTCTCTCTCCAGCCCCATGTGTCACACACAAGGGGCCTTAGCACAAAGCCAGCTGACAAGCCTGGCAGATGAAGCATATGAGGTCACCCAGGTGGCCGAGATCTGGAAGACCTTGGCTGTCTGTAGCTCGTCCGGAAAAAATCAGGTAGGACAGGTGTTGTCTTATGAGTGGGCCACACGGCAGTGATGCCTGAGGCCCCTGTGTGAGGAGGAGGCGTGGAGATTGTCCAAAGGACGGTTCCTGAGTCAAGTACAAGAAAGGTAGCTCTAGCCTGCAGAATTGTTCTCCGTGCCCCTGGCTCACCCCGGCGGCCCCTGTGCCAGCCCCCTGGTCAGGCAGAGTCTGTGTATCCCCTCCATCCTCTCTGCGTCCCAGCTTCTGGCACCCCTGCACTTCCTTGGACGAATCCGTCGCCAGGCACCTGGGGTTGGGGCTGCTCTCCTTGGCCTTGCATTGAGTTCCTGATTTGCCTTTCTGTAGCCCAAGTCCGTCCTTCCTTCCAAGTTACCAGGGCAACCTTGCGCTCATCTGATACTTCCACTCCACGACACATTCCCCCGTCTGTCTTCTTCCCTCTTCATCTCTGCTACCCCGGGCTGTTTCCGGGGTTTGGTCTGAGGCGGGGCCTGAAGGTAGCATCAGGACTTACGTACCTCACGTTGGGACACTGACAAGGCTGGCACTTCTGCCGCTTCCCAACCGAGGTCCAGGCCTTCCTTTTCAACCCAGCCTTGTCTTAACGCTTTAAGGAAGCGGCACTTTCTTTTTTCATCTCCTGGCGTTGACCTGCTTGTGCACAGCGTGGGGCAGGTGAGGGCCAGAGAAGTCCCATGCTGGCCCGTGATGAAGAGCTGAGAGGAAGTGCTTGGCAGTGGAGGTGGGGACCAAGGAGAAGCCGGGAAGCCAGCCCAGGGGCTTATGGGAACATGTTTGCTTGTAAACTTCCTAGATTCACGGGGCTCCGAAGGGTATTCCCTGGCACAGACACGGGGCTGTCCCTGTTGCAGCTGTTAGCCTGAGCCACGTGCCTGCTCCCCTCCTTGTGTGTGAAGTGATCAGGAGCGCCCAGTGTGGTGGGGGGCACGAGGGGCCTCGGCCTCCCCCCCCAGTTCTCTGAAAGGTACACACTATTTCAAGTAATCAGGATGCTGGCTGTCATTGAGAATACCCATTGCTAACTTGCTCTAGCGTTTCTGCTCCCCAGGTGTCCAGTGCAGACACCTGTGCCCCTGGCCACTGCGGGCCATACCAGTCCCACACAGTAGCCAACCCTTCGGGCAGAGAGCCTGGACCAGTGGGTGCCTGGGGTCCCCTGGGGGCCTGATAGGGGACAAGGATGCACCCGAGAAGATGGGGTCTGACTCACTGTCTCTTTGCAGCAGTGGCGAGTCCTCTGCACATGTTGGCAACACATGCCTCGGCGTCGGCCTCCCTGCCCACAAAGCGCCAGAATGGCGACCAAACGGAGCAGCCAGAGCTGAAGCGGGTCAAGACGGAAGACGGCGAGAGCATCGTCATCGCCCTGAGTGTGGACACGCCGCCGGCAGCCGGCAGGGAGAAAGGTGTCCAAAACTAGCAACTGGGACAGCTTTTCTTACTTTAGTATCAACTCTGTGGTGCCAAAAGGAGACACTGCCACTCACCGACGCTCGGAGCGCGTTGTCTCGGTGGGTAGAGGGCCCTGCGGTTGGACTTCACCTCAGCACTGAAAACACAAAACCCAGGTGGCCTTAAAACTCCTAAAAGACAGAAGTCACACCTGAACAAAACCACATGCAACAAAACCTGGTTCCGGCAGTGTCTCCCCACCCCGCGCTCAGCTTGTCACTCCAGAGCGGAGCTGCTGGGACAGGGCGGGGACTGTCCCCGCCGCCCTCCCAGGACCCTTGGGGCTGGCACTGGTAGATGAGACAGTATTTTGTTGTTCACATGTGGAATTAGAATATTTTGAGGTGTACTTTCTTTACAAAATAACGGGGTCTTTGACATTTCCGATCGCTCCATTTCTACTCTGGAAATTTTGGAATCACACAGGACCTTTCGTGTTGATTTCATTTGGGGAAAAGAAACAATGTAGTTTTGTTTTTGTTGTTTGTTTTCAGCCTATGGAATGATTTCCTTTTGTCTGTCCTGTTAACGTTCAGATGGAGCTACTTGATGACATCTGCAGGTTTTCCGTGTTAGAGCAGGTGCCGGATGCATCTAGGACGGACGGACAGACTGGACAGATGGATGCCCATGCTGGGCCGCATGTTAACCATGACTGAAAGAACTGCTGGACTCGTGGAGCTGCACTTAACTGGGTCTCTTTCCTGCTACTTTTTGTTGTTTGTTCCTTTGTGTTGACTTTGTCCCTTGCATAATTTTCCACTCTAAGTAAAACAAGCCTCCTAAGTGTTGTGTGTGTTTAAAACAACAGAACTGTTCCTACTTCATTTGGAAAAAAGATTCGGTCTTATACCACACACCCTTTTCAGACAAGTGTCACAGGTCTCTCCGTGGCATGTTCGCTAGTCACTGTCACCGGTTCTAGGCACAGAGCCGTCATCCAACCAGCTGTCCACGTGATGACGCTGTGGTTTGCCTGGTTCGTGGGGAGCAGTTGCTGGGGTGGCTCAGAAGCTGCATGTTAACACAAGGGTCTTGGAAACATCCAGGTCCTTCTCTGGTTTGTAACAGGAAATCCCCCTCAGCCTCTCAGAACTGAAGCAGTCCTGAAGCTGACTTCTCTCCTACAAAAAACAAAAGTGAGACGAAAGGAAACAAAGGTGAGACCGTGAGCAGTAGGGGCCCCACCCGGCCTCAGTCACACTGCCCCAGAAGAAAACCGCTGGCCTTTTCCGGAGTGTTCCAGGGGTGAGGGCTTTGGCCTTGTTGTGAACTTTTAAATGTCATCATCATCATGTTATTTATTTAAATGTAGTTATTTTGGTATTTAATTTTTTTTAAAGAGAGGAAAAAAACCCTGTATTTTCCTGGTGGAATGAAACGGCTCAGAATGGTATATTTAGGCAATTTTAAAACATTATTTACCTGCAGACCAAATATGATAAATCTGTTCTAAGTATTGTGTGTCAACCCACAGTATGGAGCTGTCACAATGTTATCGCAGATAATGCATATTAAAAATTATGAAATTACTGCACACTAGCTGGATTTATAACTCAGCCATTTAAAAAATAAAAACAAAACCATCATGTGAACGATACCACGCGTGTGACAGTAGCAGAATCTAAGCTGCAAGCTGAAGCATGGATGGATTGGAGCACCTCAGGGCGGCAATCTGCATCTTCCAGGCACTTTACAGATACCTTGGAATGTATATTTTTGTCTTTTTACTCAGAAGGTTTGCAATTTGCAAGATAACTCGGATTGCATTGTGTCTTATGTAGGGTCAGGTCGCTCCACTGAGTGGTCCAGACCTGCCATTCATGGCTACTGTAGGCCCTGCCTGAGCTCTGGACAGTGGTCAAGACTGCCCCAGCGGGAACACTGGATTGGGCACATGCATCGTATGTCTTCCTGGAGATGTGTCTACACAGCTGTGTACCTGTCACCATCCAGAAAGATGGGTAGATTCTCCCTAAGCCCAGTCCACCGATTGGTTATTTCTGAGCCTAAAACACAGATACTTTGTGGGTCTGGAGGGATTTCTGCTGGGATTGTAGATTTAAAAAAAAAAATCCAGTTCTCAAATTTTAAAAAAGAGAGGAGGCTAGTTTTTTGGTGTAAGGTAGCTGGTGTGTGCCTTTGTCAGAGGGCTTGAGGTCTTTTCTTTCTTGTTGCCTCGTTCAGTTGGCTAATTGATTGGCACGTGGTATTTTAAGAATATCAAGGAAAGGGTAGGAAAACATGGATTAACAAACAGCCGTATCCCAGAGGCTCTTAAAAATGTTCAGTTTAGCTCTGAGTTTCCAAGAGCCCTCAAAACACCCAGGGTCACTGAGCTTGTGTCCCTTCTACCCTGCTTGATGCCTGGTGCCCATCAACAGACACGTAGCACTGAACTCTCCGCTGTTCACCGGCAGTTCCTAAATGTCTTATTTCAAGAGGTTTCTGCTTTGATCTTTGCCAAACTTCCAAGCCCCCCCAAGGGACTAGAAACTTCAACAGCTTTGCCCTGAACCATACAAAAACACAAGAGAAACTCACATGTGAGACACATGACAGGCATGTTCTGAGGAGTCTGGGCATGACTGTGGATCCATCTTACTCTGGCATCGTTAGTCTCCACGTGAACAGTTGAGCTCCTTAAAGACACCACCTTCGCCGTCCTCCCTAGAACAGCAGCACAGACCCTGAGTCATGGTCAGAAGGGGCGGGGCAGGGCCAGGACTTGGGATCTCTGTGCTGTGTGACACAAGGAGGTAAGTGACAATCTTCAAGTCCTAACCTCTGCAACCCTAGAAAGTACAGTGGTGATTTGTGTGCAAAGATTTGAAATTTTAAAATTACCAAGTTCCTGAAATTAAATAAAATATTTTTACTAATTTTAATTGAATACAGAGTATCATTGTCATTTTGATAAACTGAGGCAAGCATTTTTTTTTTTTTAAACTTGTGCTCTGAGCATGCCAAAGGTCTAGAGCACTGGAACAGATGTACGAAGGAACGGTTTGTGCTGACCATGGTGTCAGCTCTGCCACTAGGAAGGGAAGAGAAGTGTTTGCACAAGGTAGAGGCACGGGGGGTCACAGGCAGTGGTAATGGAGTCTTGCTGATTTTTATCTGTGACAGTGCCATTTTAAAACCTATTTGAGGTTGTGGTTGTTGCTGTCATTTCTTCTATAGACCTTGCCTTCAACCTAAGAATCAAGATCACTGCAAACAACTGAGATTTATCCTCCTATGGGATGAGTCTCACCTAAAGAGGCACATGGCTGTGCAAGCTCCACATTCTAACACGATGACCATCCAGCTGCCAGAAAGTCCGTGATGTGGGCTCTGGTGCCCTGGAGCTTGCTGACCCTGGGCAGCAGGGGAAGGAGGAGTACCAAGAAGGATGGCACAAGGCCCTGTGGCAGCTCAGTGAAGCGGCACTTCAGGGCTTGAGGACAGAGCTCATAGGGGGCTTCCTTCCTACGCTGAGAGACGATTTCTCCTTGCAGAAGGAAGCAATCGTAATGGGCTTTTTTAGATCTGCTGTCCACGCTGTGTTAATAGATGCTTTAAAATGCGTACAGCCTTAGCCCCCCTTCTCTCAGGCAGTGTTACTCTGGTAATTCATTAGGTTCACCTTGAAGTTAAAACTGTGTCAAAACAGGGGTGACAGCTATCCTAGAGGATAAGCTACCTTTGTCCAGGAAAAAGATGAAGAGAGGAACCTTCAGAGAAAGGAAACAATTCACTAACTGATAGGAGGCCTTCCCCTGTAGCAAAAGCACTGCTAATTAGAGGTAGGCCCCCATTTAGGGCCACGTTTCATCTGCAATGAAGACATCAGGGCACATTGTGAACCTACCTGCAGTCACCATCTAGTAAGTTCTGGCATAAACCGGGAGGTGTAAGTGCACGGTGCCACTGGCCGGCACTCAGGTTTCTAGGAAATGCTGTGCTAAACAGACTTACACTTAACCACTCCCTCCACGTTTCTGTCCACAGCAACACACCAGATGTTAACCAGGGCCTCAGGTGACCTCTGAGGAGATGGGTAAACCTGTGGGTACAAATTTCCTGAGTTTGGAAATGCCCTTCAGAGGTCCCCATGGTGTAAGCACACTCTGCCCTAGATCTTCCCAGTGGTTACAACTAACAACCCTTAACGGAATAAAGCAATTATCCCAGTTCTCTGAAAAATAAATAGGCAGATTGGGGCTGGGGGATTAAAACTCCAGTAACAACCAATATGGTGATGACTTTCCCATATTTTTCCCTCTTGTATCTCCTGGGGAGCCTGAATACCGGAACTGCATGTTAGAAGCAAACGAGAGAGTACCCGAGGGACACCTCCCTCTCCACCTGGCAGAGCACTGGCTGCGTGCAGTGGCTCTGGACACACAGTACTCAGCCAAGAGGAACTGGGAAAGGGGACACCCATATACTCCAAAGAGGGTGTGTGTGGAGCGCAGAATCCCTGTGATGTTTTTCCTTCCTTGGGGCCTCAACTTTGGCCCCAAGCTGGACCCAGTCATAGTGTGCAGCACCACAGGGAGGCAAAACCTGAACTTCTTTAGCCAAAGGACCAGGAAAAGGAGTATCTGGAAGATGGAAATATGGGAAGATCCCCTAAAGACCACATGATACCCTGGGTTCACCCTGAGCTGCATGTGCCTGGAACTGACCTGACAAAGTAGAGACTGTATTAACTGAACTACCATATCAATTGGCCCCTGGTGGTGCACACAGGCATAGACCCAAATAGCTCTTGGAAAACGATGGATACCAGAACCAGAGCCCACCCAGAGCAGATCAGCATGTGCAGTCTGAACATAGATTATTTGCCTGCTTAAAAAAAAAAAAAATTCTCCAAAGGATTTTAATAAGACTCAGTGTCTCATAATATTAAAAATGTCCAGAATACAATCCAAAATTACTTAACCTACGAAGAGCCAGGAACGTTTTTAAAGGGAAAAGAAAGTTAATATATGTCAACTTAAATGTGTTGGAATACTCAGAAAAAGATATTAGAGCTTTTATATAAATGTTTTATTATAACCATACTCCATTAAAGAAGGGCAAATGCTCTTGAAATAAGCCAAAAGTTATAAACTTTAAAGTGAAAAATACAGTGGATAAACAGAAAAAAACATTTGGAAACAGAAACAAATGGAGTCTCAGGGACTTGTGGGACAATATAAAAAGATTTAATGGATGTGTTAATTGGATTCCCAGCAAAAGGAGAAAGACATTGGTGTAAAAAAAAATTTTTTTTAACAAAATGGTTGAAAATATCCCTAATTTGACAAAAGACAAATGTAAAGATTCACAAAGCTCAGTAAACCCCAAAAAGTTAAACTCAAAGAAAACCATGTCAAAACACCATGGACTAATGAAACTGAAGACTTTTAATCTTGAAAGCAGCCAAAGAAAAGTGACTCATATACAGAGAAACAACAATGTGAATAACTACAGATTTCTCATCAGAAACCACAGAGGCCATATGCCTGGATAGCTTTTAAAGGCTGAAAGTAACCATCCATCTAGAATACTATATCCACAGAAAATACCAGGAATACAGATGAAATAGATATTCCTAGATGAAGGAAAACTAAGAGTCCTAAACCAGCAGAGCTCTCAGAAGGCAAAGCTAAAGGAAGTTCTTCAGGCAAAAAGTAAATGGCAGAGAGAAACTTGGAACTTCAGCAATGAAGAAAGAGCTCAGCAGAAATGGAAAGATCTGGGCAAATACACTAATGTTTCCTCTCAAGTTCTTTAAAAGATGTCTGACTTTGCAATGTAACAATTACTGTCTTTCAGGGCTTTCAGTGTATGCAAATGTTATATTGACAAAATTACAATATAAAGGAGGAAGGCAGAGGTTTACTTATAAAGTCTACATTTCACTTGAAGTGGTGAAACATGAATTCTGAAGTAGAGTGAAAAGTTACTTTGAATATTGTAATCAGTAGTGCAATCACTAAAATATATAACAAAAAGCTAAAAAGTAAATGGAATGCAAAAAAATGTTCCAAATACAAAAGGAGGCAGGGAACATAAAACCAAAGGGAAGAAAAAAATGAACTAAGCAAAAAATATGGCAGAATCATCAATAATTACATTAAATATAAACAGCCTACACATGCCAATTAAAAGAGATTGTCAGAAATTTTAAAGAACAGTCGCATTTTCAAATGCATTAAAAGAATAAAATACCGGGGCGCCTGCATGGCTCACTTGGTTAAGTGTCTGACTTCAGCTCAGGTCATGATCTCAGGGTCCTGGGATCAAGACCCATGTAGGGCTCACCACTCAGCAGGGAATCTGCTTATCCCTCTCCCTCTGCCTCTCCCCCTGCTTGTACTCTCTCTCTTAAATAAATAAAAATCTTAAAAAATAAAAAACCTAGAAATATTAAATTTAACCAAGGAGGTGAAAGACCTGTACTCTGAAAACTATAAAATACTGATGAAGGAAACTGAAGATGACACAAATAAATGGACAGATATTCCATGCTCATGGATTGGAAGAACCAATATTGTTAAAATGTCTATACTACTGCCCAAAGCAATCTACAGATTTAGTGCAATCCCTATCAAAATACAAAGAGCATTTTTCACAGAACTAGAACAAAGTCCTAAAATTTGTATTGTACTACAAAAGACCACAAATAGCCAAAGCAATCTTGAGAAAGTACAAAGCTGGAGGTATCACGATCCCCGATTTCAAGATCTTCCTCAAAGCTATAATAAAATAGTATGGTACTGGCACAAAAATAGACACATAGATCATTGGAAAAGAACAGAGAGGAAATAAACCCAGTTAAAGGGGGCAAAAATATACAATGGGGAAAAGACAACAGATGGTGTTGGGAAAACTGGACCACTTTCTTGTACTATACTTATTTTGTTTATACAAAATAAACTCAAAATGGATTTAAGACCTAAATGTGAAATCTGAAACCATAAAACTCCTAGAAGAAAACAGGCAGTAACTTCTTGGACATCAGCCACAGCAACATATTTATGAATACGTCTCCTCAGGCAAGAAAAACAAAAATAAACTATTGGGACTACAAAATAAAAGTCTGGAAAGCAAAGTAAACCATCAACAAACAAAAAGTCCACCTACTGAATGGGAGAGGTCATTTGCAAATGATATATCTGATAAAGAGCATCCAAAACAAAGAACTTCTACAACCTAACATCAAAAAATAGTATGATTAAAATATGGGCAGAGAACCTGAATAGACATTTCTCCAAAGAAGACACAGATGGCCAACAGACACATGAAAATGTTACAGGATTTCTTTTCCTTTAGTGCCTGTGGTTCTTGGTCATGCTGCTTCAAAGAATGAAGAGGTTGGGGAGCCTGGGTGACTCAGTTAGTTAAGCCTCTGCCTTCAGCTCAGGTCATGATCCCAGGGTCCTGGGATTGAGCCCCACAGCGGGGTCCCTGCTCAGCAGGAAGCCTGCTTCTCCCTCTCCCACACCCCCTGCTTGTGTTCCCTCTCGCTGTGTCTCTCTCTGTCAAATACATAAATAAAATCTTCAAAAAAAACAAAAACAAAGAATGAAGAGGCAGACCAGATGAAGAGTGGAGGGCAGCAAAGCAAAGTTTGAGTGATAGTACAAAGCTCCCAAAGAGGGAGGGGACCCGAGATGGGGTTGCTACCGGAGTTTCTAAGTCTGAGGGTTTTTATGGGCTTGTTGACAGCCCATAAAACAGTTTAATCTGATTAACCCTCCAGATGCATCACCCATTCAGGTTTTTGTCCATTCAAGTGGGAAAGGGTGGAGGGCTCCTTCCAGGATGGTGTAAAATCCTTTTAACAGTGGTTTTCTCTTAGGGTGGGGCCCCTTGTCCATGCCTGCATTTCTTCCAACTATCCTTC